AAAGAGGCAGTGCTGTAGAATCGTGGGCGGGGCTAAAGAGGCAGTGCTGTAGAATCGTGGGCGGGGCTAAAGATGCAGAGCTGTAGAAGCAGGCGTTGATATTTTCCTGTGGAGGCGGGGCTTAGCCACACTATTACATCATAAAGCGGCACATCCCGAAACGAGTCATTTTCTGAGCTTGGTTTCAATAAAAGCTGTTTCTAAACTAACGAGAAAGTTTTGAGTTCTGAAACTTACTGGATGTTTTTATAGTACATTGACCTGTTATATGTCAAAAGATCAAGGGAATTTGATTTCTCAGTTCATGACCCCTTTAAATCAAGATACAGTTACTGGAGATGCAAGATTACTTCAGATATTAAGTTGAAAACTTAAACAAATCTATCAAAATGAATTGAGTTTATGCTTAAAAAAAAATTTATTCAAAAAGAAAATAAGATTATTTTTCGTTTGACGTCCAAACTAATGGACTTTTTCTTGCAGTTCTGAGTTTAGATCTCACAATTTTTAGAAAAAATATATATATGTTTATAATTTGTGAGTCTGAATAGTGAGATAAAAAGTTTTACCTTTTTAAGTTTACCTTCTTTTTAATTTTATATCTCATGGTGTAAAAAGGCTTCCACATTTTTCAAACCCTATTGACAGACATATTTAAGTTTATTTAGATTTTCAAGTAAATGTGTCTTGATTTAAGGATGTTTAGATATTTGTATTGAAAAACAACTTTTTCTTTTTTTTTTTTGCAAAATTCTTCTTTCCTAAAATCTCCATCATTTCTTCAGTGTCAGCCACCATGAGCTCAACAGAAGTGACTTTATCATGATTTTAAATGTGGTTGTCACCCCAAAATGTTGTGGTTGTGGTGTGCAGTTGAGTGTTTTCTTCAGGACACCGAGCTTTCTCTCCCGTCTGCAGGTTTGGTCCCGGTCTGGTCATCTACTGGTACGGGTTCGTATCTGAGCTGGACTGCCAGCGGGGCCGAGGGATCCTGCTGAGAGACGGCTTCCCCTCGGACATCGTAACCCTGAGCCGAGTCTGATCCGTCACGGGGACGTTTGTTGCTGTGGATGTCAGTCCGGAAGCAATTTAGCTTTCCTGCAGCGTGAGACTCCTGGCAAACATCTGCTGTGAACTCCGGCTGAACTCCAGCGGCTCGGGAGAGAAAACAGCGGCGCCTCAAATCCTGCCGAGGCCGGTGACACGCGTCACTCTTATCTTGCTCAGAGACGCCGATGGATGAGACGTTTGTGATTGTTTGTGTTCAGTTATAAAGGCTAATAAAGTTGTGAGTTCTCCATATATTCTGTGTGTCTATCTTCTGAAACTTTCTTGAAGTGGGGTCCAGAGTGACGCTCTCCAAAGCTTCCTCTTCCTCTCTGAGCTGTTAAGAGCTGTGGAGAGATCTCAAGAGATTCCTGTCTGGGCACTATTAACCCTGTGACGCCTGACATATGAAGCACAGTCAGAAAACAATGAAATGGAACAGTTCATTCAACCTTTAAACTACATTTTTTATAAAAAGTTTGCGTGTGTGTTTTATGTTTTGTATCGTATTTGATGCATCTGATACAGTGAGAATATGGAGGAAAAAACAGCTCAGGTTTATTCAGAGACAAACTGTGCAAAAATATGCAGTTTAGGTGCAGATGCTTATATTTATATGATGAAATTCTGATGCTTGTAATCTAAATCAGTGAGATCTTTCTAACAGTACAGCAGATACTAACATAAAATGATCTAAATATCAGTCATCGCTCTATATCTCCAGTAATCTGTCTCAGTAAGATGAGATTGAAATGCTCCAAACATATAATGCAGTGATTGAGAGCTGAAGAAATAAAGGCTCCTCAGAAGATGTGAGATGTTCTGGAGGCTTGTGAAGATCATTCCTCCGCTGAGGAACAGTGAAAGTAAAGCTTCTGGAAACAAACGCTCCTCAAAAGATCCTGAGGATCAGATTTGAGACTCTAAAACATGATTGATGGAGAATCAAGTAAAGCTGAGCTGCTTCAGTCCAGTAAGTGTTCATCTGGAAATATTACTGCAGTTATTCTGACGCTTACTTGATCAAAAACCCTTACCATTAATCTCTAACCCAAGAGACGGGCCCCAAACACAAAGGCCCTCAGCGCCCCGGTAACGGCTAGCTCTTAACGGAGTACAGAAAGAAGTAAAAGCACGGTAAACAGGGGAGTCAGTTCCTCTGGAGAGCTTCCTGTCATTGTGTTCATGATGCTTCAGTGCATGAAAGAGCCTATAAATTAGATTGTGCTCTGAACGTCGGGCTGTTTTCATGTCCGCCTGCTTCTGCTTTTAGACTGTTGTGATTTTAACTCTGCTGGTCTCTCTTTAATGTGTGTCAGTAAGCAGCATTACAGTGGTAGTTCACGCAAAAATGATAATTGTGATCATTTGCTTATCACTTTTTCACAAGGTACTAATGTGTAGCATTTAAGTACTAAAATGTACCTTTCAGGGGTAAATAAGGCACAAAGGTGAATGTTTTGTAAGGGTCCTGCACCAGTCACAGCTTCTTTACCCTTTTTTTTTCTGAGAGCGCAGAAGACTTTCATTCGTCTTCTGACACATAAAGATATTGTTAATGAAACCATAAGTAAGATTTAAGAAAAAAAGAAAGAAAAGAAATTAATACTTCAGCAAGGAAACAATTAAATCAAACGTGTCAGTAAAGACATTTATAATGTTACAGAAGTTTTCTATTTCAAATAAATGCTGTTCTTCTGAACTTTCTATTCATCTGTGAATCCTGAAAAATAAAATGCATCACAGTTTCCACAGAAATATTGTGCAGCACGACTGTTTTCAACATTGATAATAATCAGAAATGTTTGTTGAGCAGCAAATCAGCATATTAGAATGATTTCTGAAGATCATGTGACACTGAAGACTGGAGTAATGATGCTGAAAATACAGCTGCGCATCACAGAAATACATTACAGTTTAACAGATATTCACATAGAAAACAGCTGTTTTAAATTGTAATAATATTTCAAAATATTCCTGTATTTTTGATCAAATGAGTGCAGCCTCGGTGAGCAGAAGAGACTCTTTCAAACCTCATTGGATTTCATGCATCAAGCAAATACAGTTGAATGTCTTATGGGTTTGGAACATCATGAGTTGTGAGTAAATGATGAGCTTAAAACCTTTAATGCAAGAGGTTTTAATAATCTCAAACTCCTGCAGATCAGCACACGTGAACCGGTGGAGCCGCAGTCATTTTTGTGAGATGCTGGTTCCATGAAAGCTGTTCCCTGCAGACGGCTGTGAGCGGATCCCACTGAAGGTGAATGCAGAGGTCTGAGAGGCTGATGTTTGGAGCAGATCTGCAGTGATTCGCAGCTGTTTCTGCTCAGTCATTAACATATTCATCTCTCGGCAGAGCAGCAGGTGTGTTATGATGTGCTGCTGGACGTTTAGACTCACACACACACACACACACACACACACATTCTCTGCTGGCAGCTTCGTTTTTTCTGATGGTCTTTCCATTGCAGCTGAGATTTCAACTGTTTAATCAAACGTACAGCAGCACAAAGCAGTGCTTCAAACTAAACTAAATGAATATTAGTCCTGTTTAAATTAAATTAAATACACCACTTAATATGAACAGTTTTACTTTGCATGTCACATTGGGACTAAAATGTAGTCATGGATCAATTTTGACTACTATAGGTAAACTTTATATTTTTTATGTCCCATATTATGTCTCAATTCAATAACTGAGACACAATCTTGGACTGAATGGTTGAAAAGTCTCACCAAGGCTGCATGTATTTGATCAGAAATAGTTTAAAACAGCTGTTTTCTATGTGAATATCTGTTAAACTGTAATGTATTTCTGTGATGCGCAGCTGTATTTTCAGCATCATTACTCCAGTCTTCAGTGTCACATGATCTTCAGAAATCATTCTAATATGCTGATTTGCTGCTCGAGAAACATTTCTGATTATTATCAATGTTGAACACAGTCGTACTGCACAATATTTTTGTGGGAAACTGTGATGCATTTTATTTTTCAGGATTCACAGATGAATAGAAAGTTCAGAAGAACAGCATTTATAATGCATTTACTGTCACTTTTGATCGATTAAATGCATCCTTGATGAATAAAAATAATTTCTTAAACAAAAAAAACGTTTGAAAAGTAGTGTAAATATAAAGCTTTTGAAGTAATACAAATAATACATTCATTTATATTTATGAAAGCATATACATTTTAATCTACATAAATTATACATCACAAAATACATGCAAATGCCTAATAATGAATCCTAATGTGATTTAAGATGAACTTATATTATAAAATGCTTTTTACATTATATTGAAATATAAATTGTGTAATGTTATAAATCTTTCCTGTCACTTTTGATCAATTTAATGCATCCTTGCTGACTGAAAGTAGTAATTTTCCTTTTTTTCCCTCCCAGAATTTCCTGATGCCCAAGTTTTGAACAGAAGTGTACACTGTTGGGTGGAGTTTCTGTTTAAATGCTGTTATATTCCGTGTTTGCTAATCACAGCTGGTCTGTAGTTGTGTTCTCAGTGAAAAGTGCTGCAGGACTAGAGGGATATTGGTTCTTCTCAGTCCTCCACTGAGTGTTTATGTGGAAGCTGAAGGATCTCAGATGGTTGTGCTGGGAGACTGTTCCTCGTCTGCTCTCATCTGTCTGTCAGCGGATGTTCAGGCGTTTGCTCTGATTGTTCTGGATTATTGTGTTTGGCTGGAGGGATCTAGTCCGGCCCCTAAAGGTCAACGGCTCGAGTGGCATTTGGGTTCTGACAGGTGACCCAGATTCACTGATATTCATGTTCTGTTGGAGGCTGAGCGTCTGTCCACGAGCTGCAGTCAGAGAACAGCAAACCGGTCTGAGACGTGACTCCTGGAGAATGTGCTTCAGTTTCTAGTGAGGAGAGGATATACATTTTGCTATAAGTTTGATTGCATCATATAATAATTGCTGTTAATAGTGTTCATCGTCTGTTTGATTACGTCTTAAATTGATTTTTCCGTACATTTCTGCCATATGTACATTAACTGACAGTCACCACTGATAAGCTACCACTAAATATTGTAGAAACTTAATTTGCTGTAAAGTTGCATACGTGAGTGTGGGTGTGTGTGTGTGGGTGTGTGTGTGTTTACCTATTTTAAGCATATTTTGGGGACGTCCTCTTCTGTAAAAACACCATAAAATAAATAGAGGGTCGTGTGTCTTTATTGGTTAAATGCTGAACCTTTTAGTGTTTTCTTATAGTATGTATTATAACTAGCTGTGTGTAGAAACAGTAAGTCTATGGAATGTGCTCACTAATCTAAGACTGCCCATGTCAACATGACACAGATATGATATATAATGTTTACTCTGGTCAGTAGAGGTGATTTAACTTCTTCTTTTCTTTCCACAGTTATATATTTAATGTTTTAATGTCTCTGTCTGGATGTAAGTGAAGAATTATTTGTAAGGTTTTTTTTTTTCAGGTTCTAATGATTAATGTGTACACACAATTGAGTGTAATGTATTTACATGCACCTCATTATTAATGTTTTCCATAAATGATTGCTTGTGTAACCGAGCAGCAGAACGTGAGAAAATGATTCCGTTGAATTACCTGTGAACATCAGAAGCATTTGCTTGTGTCTGTGCATTAATCTCTTCGAATATGTATTCAAATGCATTATTTTCTGGACTGTTTCAAATATGAAAGTATGAAATATGAAAAATATGAAATATGAACAATATGAATATACACTGCTCTGTACATGAGGACATATCATATAGACTTGTGTTTTCATATAAAGCTAGTTGCAAATAGTACAGATAATCTCCAAACATCCACCTAAAACAAAACTATGCTTTAGAAGAAAAGAAAGAGAAAGAAAGAAAAACGATGTATTTATGATTTATTTTTTTCTATTGAGAACATCCCAAAGACTGAGATTATGCCTCTTCTGGAGATGAATTGTAGCTCCAAACGAGAAACAAATAAACACACTCAGCTTCATACTATTCACTCTTTTTTTTTATGCGTTATTGCAGAAATTCCCATATGTTGTCTTAAATGTATTATTATTATTAATTATTATTATTATTACAGTTTTACGTACGTGCATGAAATATTTTCTTTTTCTTTGAACGGTTGCGAATAAATGGGACGCAGAAGATCGCAGTTCTCGTAGATCTCGATGTAAATGCGGCTTCATCTGCAGATCAAGGTTTTGGAGGA